CTCCTCTAGATTGTCTATCCCACCTACCTTGATAGACCTGCAGAGATAATACTATGCACAAAAAACAAGACAGAGCAAAACAAAGCAACAAAAGAAAAGAAAACAACAACAAAACCAATGACCCCCCCAAAAAAAGGAAAGCCTGTAAATAGTTCGAGGACTGTTTGTTGGCCTTTAGGAGTGTTTTCCGGTTGAGTCTGATGGGGTGCAACAGCCTGGCCCCGAAGTCTATTTTTGATATTCCCTGGGGACTTCGTTGCTCTGCTCCCCTTGCTGTTCTGTTGCACGCCCTTAGTGTTTTGCCTCAGTGTGGTGAAGTCAGATTGGGCGCGATTCCCGCACTGTGTTTCCAATGTTGTCCCCCATACCCCTATGGATCAGTGAGTGGCATCTGTCTCGTAGGGGGCTGGCCCTCTGTTCCTCTCTGTGCTTTAGCTACTCTGAGCAGGGATATCATCCTCAGGGCTTGGTGGCCCAGGATGTGCTCCACTCTCTCCTCCTCCCCTTCATTTGCTCCTGTGTGCTCTGTTCAAACATGTCCCTCTCCCTGAGCTGTAGCTTCAGTGCTGTGCTCTGAAGTGAATGCTTCTGTACGGAGGGGGGACTGTCCACATAGTTACAAGTGGGGCCAGCCCCTCAGACTGATGAATGTGCTTTAACAAAAATCTATCACTGAAAAATGGAATAGGAGCTTGACATGACATTTAACGCTCACCCTCTGCTATGATCTCTGATTAGGCTTAAGAAGGAACATCAAAAAGTCCATGGGAAAATCCCATCATCTTTTCGTTTCACTTTCCTGCAGACTTTTGCGAGCCGCTTCATATCTTTCCCAGATGCGTGTTAAGACATGAGTCAAGTGCTTGTTCTACTAACTTGGATAACCTGTCAATCACAGCCACCTGGGGAAGCAGACAAATACTAAATCATTAGCTGAAAGATTTAAAAGACCACAATCTATCCTATTGCTGCATAAAATGATTTCTAGAATATGTGTGACACTGAAAGTTTGATCCAGCTTTGAAAATCAGTGACAAAATATTGCTCTTTGTGCAGCTGCATATAGGTGTACTTATGTAACAGAAGGTATAGTTATTGTGCCCCGCCCAGATTTCTCACCCGGGTGCACCCCAGCATCACTCTCACACATTAGCCCCATGTCTCTTTTTCAGAGGGCTTTCTCTGGCCCCTACTGAATGCTTTCCTGGACAAAAGTTTGGAGGACTGTGAGATTCACACCTCTTGGGAAGAGCCCTCAGGAATCTCTGGGTAGCACAACTGGTTAAAAATATGACCATTAAATGAAAGGCCTGGTGAACAGCTTCTAGGAGGTCATACATACTCATGAATGTGTTATGAATTATAAGTCTACTCTAATTCACATGGACCCAACATGAGCTCT